TGTCCACCGTGGTAGGAGAGCATTACTGATATATATTAGATTAGATATAGGGCAAGAAACTTTAACGCGAACGTTCGAGAGGTAATTTTCTCCTCTTTATTTCGTTGATCATGTACTACAGGTCCAATGTACGGCCCAGCCCAAATATATATGTATAGCGAGTCCAATTAACGATCCAGACAATAAAACTAGCGCATCAAGCCCAAGCCGCTAGGGCTAGTTTGGTGGTACATAATCTCATTTTCGCCGGCTTCTTTCCCCCATTTCAAGTGGATCTCCATCTTCCCAAGTGATTGCCTGCCGGCGCCTAATCTTAGGGTTTTCAATCAAGGTACACTTTCGCATCATATTTCGTTTTCCATTTTCTCTGCTAATATCTGAATTTGATTCCCTATCTGAGTTTGAGTTGGCCTGTTCTTGATTTGTGATACCCTCGACTGTGGTGCTTTGGCTCGTTCAAAATCAAGGTTCATTTCGTATGCTTGCGAATTATTTCGTGATTGCTTTAACATTTTTTAGTAAGCTAACGCTCCATTGAGGGAGACTGTTCTGAGTGTTGATTTAATATGTTTCGTGTCGAAATTTGCTTATGTTGGGCCAGGAGGATCGTGACTAAAGTATGTGGTATTGAGTGGTTGTTTAGATTTGAAATGACCTTGTTTTCTTGTTTTCTAGAAATAATATCACTGCCCCTTTTCCTTTGTTTTAAGATTTGCCTGATAATGTGGATGTTATGAAGGAGTCTAATAGGTTAGGTTGGTAGGGGGAAGTTTGCTCAATCTTTTTATTACTGGAATTGTGGTTGTATTGCATTAGAACCCAATATTGAGATCCTCTAATAGGATTCAGGCTTCACTTTTTTTGGAGTAATAACTAAGGTGAAAGGCAATTGTTAGTGTTCCTTTTGATGACATAGTTAGCTAATATATGTTTCATTTCCTCTACTTGTCTAGACTTGATTGGTTTTTTTTGTTGCACATCTCTCTGTGTAGAGATTCAAGATGTATACTGCGTTACAGAAGATTCACAAGGACAAGGATGCTGAGCCCTCTGAGTTTGAGGAGAATGTTGCTCAGGTCTTATTCAGATGGGCCCTTCTGAATTGGTTCTCTGCTGTGGGAATGATATTTTGACTGTTGTGCTTATCATGAGTTGTTTGCCTTTCTTGTACCACAGGCTTTGTTTGATCTGGAAAACACCAACCAGGAGATCAAGAGTGACTTGAAGGATCTATACATCAACTCTGCCTCGTAGGTCTTGAAACTTCTTATACACCCATTTGCTTTCTTCACTATGGTAATAATCAATGTACAAACTTAACCTCAGGCAAATTGATGTTTCTGGAGGCAAGAAAGCTGTTGTGATTCATGTGCCTTACCGTCTGAGGAAATCGTTCCGCAAGATTCAGCCTAGGCTCGTGAGAGAGCTTGAGAAGAAGTTCAGTGGGAAGGTAATGATTAGATAAAATTTTCTGAATGATAGACAGGAGAGAATGTAGCAAACCAATAGTGTTATTTATTTTATTTACTTATTTACGTTTTTAATTTGGTCTTGAGATAGTTTGTACCTTCAAAGTTTTGATTCAGTTTGTGAATGTTGAACTATGCAGGAAGTTGTCCTTATTGCTACCAGGAGGATTGTCCGCCCGCCCAAGAAGGGGTCTGCTGTCCAAAGGCCAAGAACGCGCACGCTCACTGCTGTGCACGATGCCATGCTCGAGGACATTGTTTACCCGGCTGAGATTGTAGGGAAACGTGTCAGATACAGACTTGATGGATCAAAGATCATGAAGGTTTCTGCTTCTTTTTTCAGTTAATTTTTTCTTGGGGAATGTTGCAAGACTTTCAGATCACCTAAAAAAAAAAGATTTTAAATTTTTGAAATATTGAAAACCCCTTTTGTCACATTTACCATATTGAGAGGGTAGTTTACAGACAAGTTCATGTAAGGAGTTTTTTATAAAATCCGAGGCGGATATTATACTTTATATTTTTTAAATCAAGTTATACCTTGTTGTTATGCGATTTTCGGAATAGGTAAACCATTTCATTGTTTCTTATCCTCTTGCTCTTTCAATGGTCAGATCTTCTTGGATCCCAAGGCAAAGAACGATACCGAGAGTAAGCTGGAGACATTTGCTGGGGTTTACAGGAAGCTTTCAGGGAAAGATGTTGTGTTCGAATTTCCCGTCAACGATGCATGAAGACAATGCTGTGTGTTCCCAGATTTGTTTTTCACTTTTCAGTATATTTAATTGAAAGACAATCTGTAGTGTGAGATGAGCAAACATGACAGTCAAGTTTTGATGAAGAGAAATCTTATTTGCATGTTTTGGAAAGATTGTTGTTTTCTTTAAAAATTGCCCCAACAGAATTTTATCTGCTAGACTGCTACATTGTTATTTCTCTATGGATAAATTTTTCACTTTTCATAGTTCAATTAATATTTCCAATGGTATGACAAGTACATCAATTGCAGACAAGAAAAAAATTGTGCATAATATTTCTTCAGATTCAAATTGTTCCATGGCTTGAGCAAAAGCTTGCCATCAATGTCCTTTTATGAATAAAAACCCCTCTTGGATGCACCTGTCGACCAGGTACGGCCCTTTCCATTGGGCTCAAGCTTGCCCACGTGCTTCTGGATGTTGATCCTCTTCCATACCAGGTCATCTGCTTGGAATCTCTAGACTTTGACCTTCTTATCATGTGTAGTTCACATTTGCTGTTTAGAGGCCGCCACCCTAGTTGATATATGTTCCCTTAACTCCTGAATTCTCTCTAGGGATGCTTGAACCAACTCTTCGTTCTGCTCCTTATTGAATGTGCTCGATTTTTCGGACTCTAGCTCGATCTCGATATGTAATAAATCCTCCATGCCATAGGCCAAGCTAAACACGGTCTCTCCTGTTTTCGACCTCGGTGTTATTCTATATGCCCAAAGAACGAACTTCAACTCATCAACCCATGCCCCCGAGGCCTACTCCAGTCAACCCATGCCCCCGAGGCCTACTCCAGTCTGGTCTTTAACAGTGTTGTTGAAGTCGCTAGGCGCCCGACCAGCGCCTAGCGCCTAGAGCGCCTAGTCGGGGCCTAGGCAGGGCCTAGAAATTATAATAAGTATATTATTTTTTTATTATTTTTACAATTTCACTAATGAAATTATAACTTATAATTAACAAATCCATACACCTAAGTCCCAATAATATTATTAATATTATATTATAAAAAAAAACTCCAAGTCAAAATAAGTACATAACCACAATATAACTTCTTCTCATTGTAATTTTATCTAACACATTATCTACATGTTATGTTTTAAATATTACACAACATAAGATAAATATAAAAAATTATAAATTAATAAATTATAATATTTATTATTTAAACTAAATGTATTTAGTTAAAAAAAAAATTGTAGAACCCGCCTCGGCCGCCTAGAAACCGCCTCAGCAGCATAGTCCCGCCGAAACCGCGTAGCCGCCAAGGCCGCCTAGGCCCGACTAGGCGCCGCCGAGCCCGCCCGACCGATTTTTATGGCCGATTTGGCCAAATCGTAGGCGTTGTACCGGCGTCTAGCGCCTAGGCCGACTTTTCGAACACTGGTCTTTAATCCATTAGTGATTCGGTTCGTGACTTTTAACCTGCCTCTTGGCTTGATGTGCGACTAACACGAAATATTGGTCGATTTTCTTGTCCTCACACCAGGCTCTGACCTTGTTTCCATTGAACTGCGTCCCAGTGTCTGCGATAAAAAACTTTGGTATCTCAAACCTACAACAAATATTGTTATATAAAAGAGAATGACATTTTCCTCCATGATCTTGGACAATGGCTCGATCTCAACCCATTTCTTAAAGTAATCCACAACAACGATCAAGAATTTCCTTTGGCTCGATCCCTGCGGCAGAGGCCCGACTGGGTCGATGCCCCACTGAGCAAATGGGATCGGGACACTAATTGTGGTCATCGTCTTTGTCGGTTGATGGATGATAAGTCCTTGTTTCTGGCACTGCAAACACTTCTTCACTATCGTCGCCGCATCCACCCGCTTAGTAAGCTAGAAGTGCCCAACTCGAAGAATTTTTACAAGTAATGACCCCACTTTGTTGTGGTAACTGCAACACCCCACATGCACCTCATTCAATACATATTTCCCTTCGTTCTCTGTCACACACCTTAAATGTGTCCCAGAATATAGGGAATCCCAACTTACTCAAAAAATTTCTTGATGTGCTTTAAGTTCCCTTCTTTTAGCTCATGCACGATGGGAGCCCTCCAATCCTCGACCTCATATACCTCAGCCACTTTAACCACACTTTTCTCCATATGAAATAGAGTGAAACTCATGCTCTTGCAATCCACTAGGTTTGGAGCTATCTTCGGCAGCAAGCCAGTTCGGACATTTTCTCCTCTCGAGATTAGAATCAGCTCGAATGAGCTTTGCAAGGTTTTGACATCATCCACATATTTCTGCAGTCGACCCTCCTTAACCTCAAAGCCTCATTGTAATTTTCCTACGACCAGTTGGTAATCAGAATGTACTTGTACTTCTCGAGCTCCTCCTGCCAAAGTCAACTACAAGCCTTTCAATAAAGCCTCATACTCGGCTTCATTGTTCGACACCTTAAAACCCATCTTGGTCACGTACTCCAAATTATCATCCTTTGGCGAAATCAACACGATCCGTAAATCTGCTTCTCCGTTGGAGACTGATCCATCCAAAAATATCTACCACTTTCCAGCCACTTCGACCTCCATTTATGTGTCTTCTTGAATAAAATATGCTAGAACCTGAGCCTTGATCACTTTCGGAGGTTCGTACACCAAAGACTATTCGCTTAGCTCGATCGTCCACTTGACCATACGATTTGAGACCGAATGTCAACCCAAGGTCCAAGATTTGGAAAATTCAAATATTTCATTAGAAAACATACCAATACAAACCAATTCATGAAACAACATGCCAGAGTAAAGTACAAATAAGATTACAATAATTTTTCAAGATAGATGAACTGGGTTTGCCGGGTTAGCCTCAGTGCTCGTCGGATTAGCTGAGTTGGCCTCTGCACCCGCATGGTTAGAGGTCGACGCCTCAACAAGATCGATCAAGAGATTAGTAGTTGCATCATCCAAGATCAATTGAATTCCCCAAGGAGTGACATGGGTAATCGGTTGGACCACCAAAGGAGGCTGAGGCAAGGCTATCATCTTCTCCAAGCTACATTGCGGCAGAAAATCAGCGAGGGTCTCAGTTCACTGCACGTACTCCTCCGGGAGGTTGGGATTACCCTCGAAGCTAGAAGGACAGTTAGGAAGTGCCTCCTACATAGCAACCAGGTCGAACTCGTCGGTAAAGCCTTGGGCCTGAGCGTGGGCATAGATTATGTCCAAGGCATTCTGCTTGTACTCCTGCACAACCAAGGGAAGTTTGGCTAAGAACACAGGAGATCCACAATAATCTGGTATGACCTGCTCCTAATAGGCAACGAGAAAAGACCTCCAGTTTCAACGTAAAGAAGTATTGTCAATACTCTATACGACCCTGCGTCGTTGCCTGCTCCACAACTTCTCGAGCTTCGTTTCATCTCTAACCTGATGCAAACACAGTAATTCGAATTTGACCTCCTGTAAATTAAAGAAAGGACCGCCAGTTCGAGAGAGGCTCGATTACATTGACCACAAAGAGGAATCTTACAATAGCACGTTATTCTTTGTTGGCAATTTGTCTAAATATGTTTGGGATATTTTCTAAGCACAAGTCTAAACCTTTCTCTCCCTTTTCGAGCTCATCTGCCAAGGCCTTTAGCTCGTCTTTGTGCTGGCAGTCGTTCTTAGATATCTCCAAGGTCAAATCGATCATATGACCGTTGAACGGGTGACCTTGGTGGCCAAGCCCTTAACCTCAACTTGGAGGTTTTGAACAGAAGCACCAGATCCGCCAACCCCCTCGTTAAGGATGGGGACCACGACGGGTAGAAATTGCACAATAAACGATAAACGTATGTTAATAAGTGTAAAACAATCAACAATACCAGAGGATAGGGAAAAGGAGGTTACCTGCGCCAGGCTCTTCGACAACCAACTGCATGACCCTGCTAGTCAGATCCTCATCGTCGAGTCTCTGCCGACGGGATACACTTCATCAAGTAATTATGGCTGAACCAACACTCGATTGGGCGTTGGTTGAAGGAATCCATTGGTCAAGGCAACACGTAGCGCCAGTCTACATGCAAGTAACATTAGGCCAGAAAGCTGTCAAGCCATGGGTCCTTGGCAGTAAGAAAAGTGCTCGGTTGTCGAGCAACGATTACCATATCATGGGCGATGGTATGTGTGGCACAATCAATGGGCCGACCTATAGAGATGGAGTGGGTCGGCTAGACATGCTGACGAGGGGGGATTTTTTTCTCATCGTCCTTGGTTTTAGTCTTGTTGTGAAGCTTGAGGGGTCGACGAGGAGGACGAGTGGCTGCCAAGGATGGAGTAAGGTGAGAGAAGGATAGAGCGGGGTCGACCTTCACAGAGGGAGAGGCCGAAGGGGTGAATTGAGAATAAGAGGTTGCCGGAGTACTCATATTGTTGTCGGAATATTGGCCAGCCTCAATTAAGGTGGAGAAATCTGGAAAAGACACAAAAAAGAAACAATGAAGGAGATTTAGGAATCGGAAGAAGGTGGCAGAGGGCAGAGAAGTAACGGTGTACCAGAGAGGGGTAGATAGAAAAATTTCCATTGAAAACGTTTGAGAAGATAACATTTTTTTTTTTTGAACCCGTTCACAAGAATTTGTATTTTAATAGATCGAAGAAAAAAAATAATTAAAAAGGAATGGACAGGTGTCGAGATTTAACAGGTGAGTGCAGTACCTGCAACATTGAATTAACCGATGAATGATGAATTAAGTTGATGTAATTATGTGTAAGAATGATTAATTGATATTCACCTATATATAATTTCAGAATCTGATGAGTCTAAGGCAGACTCGTATGCTTCGAAATCGTATTTGTCATACTTCTATTCTTTGAATTGATACATAATTAGGTTCGGGTGCCACGTCAAATGTCCATTAGGCATGATTATTTTCATAATACATTAAATATTTTTCTTTATTGAAACAATTCTTATTCATTGTATTCTATATTTTTTTTCTGTAGTTACAATAATACTTTCTTTTTTTTTTTATTTCATTTTATTTTTTCTATGCATATATTTACTTAAATCAATCATATTAATTTATTTCTCAATCTTTCTCCCCAATATTCACATATTACTTATTTAGAAAATAAAGTAATATGATTTTACTTTCTAAAAATGATCTTTGTATAAAATTTAATTGGTATACTGTAAATCTAATAAAAATAAATAATTAACCATTCGAATTCTAAAATTGCATATAAAGTGAAAACAATATAGTTCAACATCCAAATCCTAAAATTATATACTGAGTATTCAACTACTATGATTGAATAAATATTGTTTGAAAATTTAACTAAAACACAAATTATTTTAGTTTTAAATAATAAAAATAAAAGCTTTAATATTTTTTATATATGGTTCTTAATTCAAAATACACGGATATTGTACTAATTATTTCATTATATTGATAATATTGAAGTTAGTGAAGCTGAATTAGTATTATCGTTTGGGAAAAAAAAAATTATAATAACTGAATTAGAGTTGAATTAAAAAAAATAAAAATAAAAATAAAAATGACTGAATTTTTATGAAAATATTTTGTATCAAGCCTCACCTATGTTGCCAAAGCCAACATAAATCATTCTGAACACCACCAATACAGTGGCTTGCATTATCTTAAAAGTCTCACTTTATTTTGTTTAAATAAGGGTACCGTAAGGCAGCCCTGCCAGCCACACCTCAAATACATACTTCAATTTTTATGTCCACCGGTGAAGTACAATCCGAAAACCAAATATTATAAAAAGGCCCACGGTTTATATCTATATAGCATCCTCACTTGTCAAAAAACTTGCTGTTAATGCCCGCTCGGCATAATTTCAAACCTTTCACAGTTTCAGTGGCTATCTCAGTATTTGCAGATGCAAACAGCACGTCACCTTCAGAAACAGCCAACCCCTTGGAAGAAGCCGAGCTCACTGCGCCTTCGCCACTCAGGACAATGAAAATCGAAGGGCCCGGAACAGGCGAGAAAACAGTGGAGGCTCCTTGAGGAAGGTTGCATAGCTCAATCTCGAATTCGTCAAAAGGCGGTAGATATTTCACTGTGTAGGGATAAGAAGGGTTTCCAGTGAGTATCTCCGGAGGACCCTGCATGAAAATCGAGTTTTCTAAAATCACGGATGAAGATACATAACCAATTTTTTTCATTTTTTTTTATTTATATTTATTTATTTATTTTTTGGGCAATAAACTGAAAGAAGAAAAAGGAAACATCGATTGTCATATTTTTCCTGTAGAAAAGGAAAAAGAAAGTGATAACCAACTTTAACTTCTAATCCAGAGTTATACATGCATATTTAACAATGAACACGAAATTCAATAATATATATATATAAGTTCAAAAAAGGAAAAAAAAAAAAAATTTCAGCACAGCATGCCATTACCTGTTTGTATGTGAGCATGGAACAAAGGGTTTCAACATCACGGAACTTAGGAGTGAGGCCAGCACGAACGACATTGTCGGAAGTTGCCATGCACTCTACGCACTCGCCTTGTAGATATGCATGAGGTTCATTAGCCCCCAAGTACAGAGCCTCACCAGGCTTCAACTTCACATAATTAAACAAAAATGAGGCTATTAGACCAATGTCCCCTGGGTACTGCTTCTCAAGCCTCAAAACAAGTTGCTCCTTGTCGGTTAGGGTCCCCTCCTATCAGAACAACTAAGTCTGTTAGTAAATATTCAATTCCATCTTCAATATACAATATATTGGCCCAAGGAGTGGCCTGAATTAACGTTGGCATGCAGAAAATTCAACTCCTAATCAAATACTCAGTTGGGGTCTGTTCTATATATAAAACTTCCCAGTAAGAATTAGCAACAGTCCAGTCATGTAAAATACTTGGAACATACTACATAGAAGTTCAGAACTTGAAACAAAATGGGGCTGCAGAAGATTTTCACAGATAATTGGGACTTTGTTAAAGGAAAATGTAGTTTGTACACATGAAAGGGAATATATAAAGAGAAAAGGGAAGCAAATTCATGACACACATTATATACAATAATATAATGTGTATCACGAATTCATGACACACATACAAACTAAAATACTAGCTCGTCACAGGTTGGCTTGTGCAATAAATCGAGAAATGAAAAGAGCAGATAAGATTATATCAATACAAAAATCAATACATGTTAAAACAGTCATTTCAAGCATATAACTAAACAGAATGAGAAAGAGTAGAAAAAAACTCTCACACACCTGTTCTTTTAAACTCAACCGACTTATCAATTTCAAAGTTACGTAAGATATCAGAGACTTGCTAGCTGACATGAGATGATTAAATAAGGATCGCAAGACGTCTTTCACTTTTTCCTCCCCATCCTCTTGAGTTGTATGTAACACTTGATCAGCACAAGAACTACCAACCACTTCAACAATCTCTGGTACACTCTGAATGACAGTCTTGAGTTCCTATAAACAAGAGAGAAACAGCTAAATGTGTGCATTTATTTTTCATAAATATTAGCTATACCAAAAATATTAATTTGGGTTTAACCATTTGACGTGCAGATCGCGAAATTGGTGATTCTGACAAGCTATGCTTTTAATATAACAAAAGGGCAACTAATAGAAACCTTCGTAAAATAGCATAATACAAAGGAGAAAACAAGAGTTATCTTCTGCAAATATATTCGAAGAATTCGCCTCTTTTAGAGAAACTAGCTATGCTTAAACACGAATGATGCATATCATCTGCTTTTGACAAAAAAATATGCACATAAAAGAACATATAAGTAAGCGACCACCAGTTAGATTGAATAAATGCAGAATCCATCGAATGGCTAATACTGTTTCTAAACTATGATATGTTTTCGCATTACCTTAATAAAACAAGGATATAGACACTTTCTGGCAAATAGGAGGCTTTCGCCTCAGCTCGCCCCACGCCTTTTTAATCACTGGTAGATACATCTAATATATGACAATTTAGCTTATGTAACTAACACAACTACACACCCCTTGATATGACTGAATAACGGAACACGTGTAAGTGAAACTTCATCAAGACGGTCAATCAGTAACCCAAAAATACTGTCTAGTAGTACACAAAGTCATGCATTAATTGGTCAGTTTCCTTAAAGTCAAAGAATCGAAAACATATCAATGATATAAATTCCAGAGGTCAAGACATCCGTACTTCCAGATAAATCCAAGAAGGTAAACTTAACACTCTTTCACATAATTAAAGAAGAAAGGACCATACGAAAAACTAAGTTGTCGGATAGATGCGCATGAGTACAATTCAATATAAAGCTATTGAAGCCAATATTCAAATGAAATAGCAAAATATCATCCAGGGCTGGATCTGCATAATCCCAAAATGACCTAGGCTATAGATCAGGGTGTGGTTTTTAAGTTGAACCACTCAATATCAATCACACAATACTTACATGCTTCTGGAGTGCTTAATCAACAAATAATTAATCTTCCAAACGCAAACGAGAGGAAGCACGAATTAACATCACTGCATTATCAGGTAAGAGTGCAAATGATCTACCTGGAGACTGACAAACCCGCACAAAGCCTCAAACTCCGTGAGTGCCAACGCCATCTCAGGCTTGTGATTATCATCCTTATACTCACCTGGCTGCTTCTTGTGCAGGATCTCAGCTAAACCCTTATCTGGATGGGCCTGAATTGACAGCGCTTTTGCCACAGAAAGTACCTAAAAATCGAAACTTGCGTCAAAATTTCTCATCAATCAACTTTAATTTCTAACCAAAAAAAAAAAAAAATACGGCAGAAAAATCAAAATGACAAACACATCTACACACCGATCTCCTGAATACTTTATGTTCCCGAAACCTTCAAAGATGCATCAACCACTCGAACCATTTTTCAAACAACATTAAACAATAAATTATGACGAGTACAAACAAAGATCTTCCCGAGAATTACCTTGAAGAGGAAAGGGAGATTGGTACCCCACTTTTCCAAGACCTTATCCCCAAGCACGCTAGGGTTTTTCTCGATCCAATCCTTCAAACTCACCGTGCTGGCCAATCCACCGCT